ACTGCGAGGATTGTGAGAAGCTGATATGCTAAGATGCTGATGTTTAGCAGGAATAATGCACTAAACACATACACAGGCTGGTGGGAAGGTCATTAGCTCTGCAGGTATTTGGTCATAAACCTAAGTACAGAACAAATTATAATTTTGACAGATGATGGCACTACAGGATAGGGCCAGGCAATAAAACAATAATGATATTTAGTGTGATATAATTTTCATCAATAACAATATTACAAATGTTTAATAAATGTTTGATTTAATCCATTTAAGTCATGAATGAATTAGCACTTATTTTTTCAAATGAAGATATTTCTTTTGTTGAGGATAAGGGACTGAAAAAAGATTTTATCATAATTGTTTTGAATGTTCTGCGTCAGATTTGTTAATGGTCCACTGTTTGGCATCAAGTGTCTGTTCTGACCATAAAGAAAAGTTTAAAACCAAAATTAAACATCAGGTTTCTTCAGCTTTCACTTAGGAGAAATAAATCAGCCTTTAAACTTGAAAGAAATAATTATTTGACATTTATTGTGATAGTTATTGATTTTGAATGATATGAACAGTTTTATCATGATAACATTTTTGGCCATATCCCCCAGCCCTACTACAGGAAAAAAATCAGAGGTCCACTAAAGTCAGTTGGATTCATCTTTTGAATGTCTATGTCATGGTAAACCATCCAATAGTTATTATAGATAATATAATAATAGATATTGTAAATATGGCCTGACGAACAGTCTTTGCAATCCACAGAGCCTGGCATGCTATGCTAAAAATGCTATTTAGTAGTAAGGAAGATGGATACAGGAGACTTCATGTAAACTGAAGGAGTTCCATTAGACACACATACTGTAAGTGTGTGTGTCTAATGGAACTCATTCACAGTGGGTGCACGTATACCAATTAACATGTCACTTGTCGACACTAACTTAAATCACCATAAAATACCATGTCTGCATGGACAGTAAGTTAGTCCCACTGGGAGCTGAACTCCTGTCAGATTTAGCAACATGCTCTACTGAACTGAAAGGATCAAGTATACAGTTACAGGTAAACTTACAAATGAGATTGTGAACGTTCAGACTGGAGTTAGTTTCAGTGTTGCCAATTAGCTCTCTACATGAACAAAACATTACACATCGCACAACCCTGATGATATCCAAACCAAGCTCAAACACCCATCTCAAACAGGACAGGCAAGATGTGATAGTCTGCATAACATAAATTAACAGTATTTTATTAGCAACAACATGGTTGCACACTACTCTATAAATTATCTGAGCTACTGGAAAACAAACTAAATATTAAAATCTATTGAATTAACTTCTTTCTCACCAGCAGATTATACATTTTGAAACACTCTGAGAATATAAAATCTAAAAGTGAAATGAATCCATTCATGTCAATACATAAAGAGCTAAACCAAAACAAACCCACTTTGCCAAAACAACTGGCAAATTATCAGGCAACTCTTCTCTGAAATACCAGTGTCATGAAAGAAAAACTGCCACGCAAGTGCTGCTCTGAATGCAGCCACTCACCTCTTTGGCCTTCAGTGACTGTGAGATCCTAATGTTTCCACAACAAAAGCTCGCCTGACTCAAATTCTCCTTTGGCAAGGTTTTTTATTATGGAAATGAAAGAATATGTCTTCCAGCAGAAGGCCTAACGCCAACCTGAGCCCAACTCCAAACCCTCCCTCAGTCAAGTACTGCACATAAAATCTAAAAGGCTTTATGCTGAATGCAGAACAACTTATTAATGCAAACATATTCTAAACCTGACCAGGTGAGCCAAAGCTGATAGCTTTTACAGCTATAAGAGATGGCAGTTTGCAGTACTACAAATAACATTTCAGTGAATATCTCCACATCTCTATGGATCATTAACTGTCTGAATATGAGGGGACTATATAAAACTCCACAAAAATTGGTATCATGTAGCATTGCGGATTACATTGCCATCAAACAACCACCATGACAAACATAAGAAATGTTATTTGAGGAGACACTGAATGCTTAACTCAGAGGCAGTGTTTATATTATGTCAGAATCATTTGGGCCAAATGAATAGAATACATTCATTAAACAAGCAAACATGTTTGGCTGAGGCAAGATTATACATAAAGTATACTGATTGACACGAGGAACAAATACAGAATAATTAATCCGTTAACAAACAAAGAAGATGTGAGTTTTCGCTCTGGGGACCTGTTCACTCAAGAGAAGAGGCAGGAGCTGTGCTGAATAGTAAAACCAGCGAGCAGCAAACAGCCAACCAAAACAAAAAGACAGGGCTACTTGAAAGCAATATGAAAAGAAGGGTAAAACAATCATGCTGCTCTGTGCCAGTATGGCTGGCCAGCACACACAGCTGGGATAACAAAAGGAGAACCAACCTGACTACAGACAATTCATATTAGCTCAAGAGTTTCCTTTATGCATGCAGTGAATGAATAGATGGATTATGTGGTGTAACCTGAGATACATCAACAATTAACCTGCAGGTGAAGTAGATGTATCGCAAACTATTACTCTGCCCTCCCGACAGCAATGTGGAATAAATTTAGCTGACTGCTGACCCCTACTGGTTTCTTAACATAATATCAAAAAGAGTTTGAAATGGACAATCTTTCTTAGGAAATGCCAAAGAGGCCTAGAAAATGTTCATCAAACTCACATTTTCTAAAAGGAAAAATTGTATGTCAAAATTGTCATGGAACAGTCAGGATCATAAAAAATGACCATGCTTTCGTTCTCCAGGACTCTGAGGCATGCAGGAAAGATTGTGGCCGACCCCTCCCACCCTGGACACAAACTGTTGCAGACACTCCTGTCCGACAGGAGCCTGCGGTCCATCACAACCAAAACCTCACGCCACGCCAACAGTTTCTTCCCGTCCGCAGCTAATCAGCAAGACCCGGGACCCCCGCTGACACCGACTCTCATGCCTTCCCCAATAATGTTTGTTTGCACAACACATCAGATCCAAATTTTGTTATTGCACTATTCTGTTAATTTCATATTTTTAGATATCTTTATTTATATAGGTTTAGGTTTATTGTTGTTGTGCACCTAGTTCCCAAAACAAATTCCTTGTATGTGTAAAAACAACTTGGTAACAAATGCGTTTCTGAATCTCTGCACCTGCTTATTGCTGTCACGATGGGACTGGAGCCAGTCCCTTTATGCATTTGGTGAAAGCTAAAGAACAACAGCTAACGTAAAACAACAAAACCATTCCATCTTTACACCTTTTATGCAGCAGCTCTGTGAATCTGACAATCAATTCTGGCCCATTTTTAGGATTCCAGCAATTTGGTATTGCACTTACAGAAAGTTAGGGGATATCTTGAAAACATAATGTCAAAATCAACGCAGCAGAGGTATCCTGACTTTCAGTCCCTAGTATGGGTCAAGCACCAAAAACACTGGATCCTACTTTTCCCATAATCAGTAGAGCATTTCATCTGACCCTCCTAAACACCCTCTTTTTTCTAATTAACCAAACTTGTGTAAAAAAAAGTGGCATGTCCATTTAATTGTTCCAATCAAAAATATCCCACTATTAATTACTATATTTCCCTCGATACATAAAGTGCAGACAAACTATAATAAACCAGCCTTGACAGAGTCTGTTTTTTAGAAAGTGTGAACGTTCCCTATACTGAGCTTGTGACTCCACAGCCAGACAGTCACTGACAGTAAAGGCCAGAGAGGTATTTTCATGTCTGAATGCAATTCTAACAATACTAATCACCTCAATCTCAAAAAAGGCCACAGCAGCTACTTGTGTAATTGTCAGGTTGACAAGTACTAGTTAGACCTACAAGTGACTTCATCCTAGGCTTGGGCAGTCTGTGTTTTCATACCTTCCTGACATTTCACATACAGTATATGATTGTATTTGTGTAAAAAAACAAAAAACGAGGTAAAAGCTGAGCTGCGGGTGATAGACGACACATGTATAAAACAGTCTAGCCTATAATGTTTCTAATATGCAATTAACATACCTGTGGATGTCATTCAGTTAACATGTGAAGCTTGTATCGAGATTTTCGAATGAAGCCATTAATATCTGTCGTCATATTTTATGAGGTCATCACCCTAAAAAAAAAATCCTCCAACAAAATCGTCAATTTAAATAGTGATTCATCGGATTAAATAAGTTTGTCTTTAATTATTAAATCAACTTTCTTTCATGAATATAACTTGTCAGTTATGGTGCTGTTAGACATAACGTTGTTAGAGTTCAAAATAAATATTTCTGGACTAACGGTCTGTGGCCATGTCAGTAAATTTAAACTGCTGCTTGCACTCTGAGTAGAGGTGGGGGTGTGTGCTTATGTAGCCTCAGTTGTTTTGTTTTTTTGCAGTTATTGAGCTACAGATGATAATTTATGAAAGGAGTGTATGTTGAAGTACATGGCATTTATTAATTTGTTTTTACTTTTTAACGTGGTATCGAATTTGGAGTCGAGAATCGTGGAATTTCATTGGTGTTTGTATCAACTACAAAATTTCTGGTATTGTGACATCCCTAGACCCCATGAGTTGGAAATAATCCATGCAGCCACTAGAGCTGAGGTGTGTGAAGCTATGAATGAGGTTCGGGCTGTAGCTGATTGGGTAGATATCAAACAAACGCAAATCATCAACCATCTTCATGATACACTATCAAAAGCAAAATGGATGAATGCTGCTTAATGTCAATTGGAAGAGACATGTGACTTATGCTTCTGTCTTTTTGAAAGTCAGATTTCCATTTCTTACCCAACACTGCAGGGGAACAACTAGAGAGAACATAACAATAGTGAAGTTCAAAGCTTCATCTACACCATGACTGACAGCCATGGTTCCACCAAAATACAAAACCTTTTCAAACCACATTGCTCTGAGGACCAGCCCCAGGTTGAGTTCTTCGGCATTGGGATATGTATGATTGGACTTGTCATTAATGTGGTGATGTGGCCTTAATTAGGTAAGCTTTAAGTTCTTTACCTGAATTGTGCCAAAGTCCACGTTTTCATAGTGGAAGTGAGCGCACTCTGCCAGTTTCGGGAAGTGGCCCTTGGTGAAGCAAAGTCTGAAAACAACACACACGCACACAGTTTGGTTGGCACTTCATCCTCTGCTCATGATAACACCTCGGAGTGTGTGTGACTAGTATATGAAGGAGAGTGCAGTGCAAACAGAGGGAGTGGAAGGAGGAGGAAGACACAGAAATAGACTCAGGGAATGGAAGGAACCCGAGCAGGAAACAGAGGCGATAAACAGCCAGTTAAGAGCGATAAATAGAGATGAACAGAAGGAAGGAGAGATGTGAGGGAGGTGGAGGAGACAGGCAGAGGCAGGTGTGTGTTTGTGTAAGTGTGTGCGTGTCTACTCACTTCTTGACATTCTTGACCTTCATGCTGGCCGTGCTGCTGCTAGAGGAGCGCATGAGGGGCTCCGTCCTCAGCTCAGGGATCTCTGCACTCCTTGCCTAAAAAACACAAAAACATCAGCGACCCAGCTGGTGCGCACATAAATCTCTGCCACTGTTATATTGTTGGACAATTTTCCATTTAGGTTCTGCTTTCCACCAACTAGAGATGCACCAATATCGGAACTCGAGATCTGATATCGGATATTGACCCGATACTGACGGAATAGCTAGATCGGATATCGGTGACAAGGGTCCTGATCTGTTCAATTACATTACATTAATTCATTTAGCTGACGCTTTTATCCAGAGCGATTACAATTGTATGTCAGAGGTCGCACGCCTCTGGAGCAACTAGGGGTTAAGTGTCTTGCTCAGGGTCACATTGGTGGAGTTGAACCCGGGTCTCTCACAGCCAAGGCATGCGTCTTTTCCACTACTCCATCACCACCAATTGACCCTTCGCTAAGCCACGCCCCAAATACGCAGCTGGCCAATCACAGTGCAATATAGGTCTCGCTCTAACTGAGGTCCGACACGTTCATGGCTGTGCTCCATTGACTCTAAAGGAGTGGTTTTCTAGCTTTCTTTTGACGTATTTTTCCAAGAAATGTGCCTAAGGTAAAGTTGTGCAGTTTAACTGATTCATATCAACTCCAACCTTATCAGGAACTCAGCTTTAATCAGGCAAGCCAGCAAGTGAATATCATAACAAACCTTTATGAAATGTAATTAATGACAAAGCAGTGCAAGTTAGTTTACAAATGTAGATCAAGAGGCTGAATGAAGCACCAGGTTGCTCAGGTCAAGTGGGAAATTGTTGAAGCTATTTGACTTTTAATTTATTATGGTAGTGTTTTGATGCTATGGTGCCTCCCACTGTTGTGTTACAGTATATCAAAGCTGTTTTGCCTGCTAGTAAAAAAGTAAAACATTGATTACTCAAAGACACAGTGAAATCAAAAATACTTTTCCAAGTTCTAATCCTGTATACCTATGTCAACAGGTCACCAGAGTTTTGTATCTCTCTCTCTTTCCTCTTCTTTTACATGTTAAAATATTTTTGATGGCTTATCTGGACCTCAGGATGCTTAAGAAATTTCATCCAATCAAATGTCATTAGGGGCGTCTGGCTAACCTGCCCATCACATTAAAACTGCCTTGACTGTAAGCTCATGTGAGGGTCGTTGTACTGTAAATAGCAAAGTTATCATTTAGTAGGTGTGCATTCAGATCTCAGTTTCTAACTACTTTTCCAAAGAATGTGGTTGAGGTCTAATTTATTAATTTCTCCCTCACATTCATTTGAATGAGGCCACTCTGTTACAGCAGAGGGGCTGCCAGTGACCATCTGGCCTATAATGACCCTGTTTTTTTGATCCTGCTGTTGCTGACATGCTTTATGTTTTAAGAATAGAAGTATCTTACGTATCCACCATAATATAACCATGTTCATGTTGTTGGGTAACTGTTAGGGGTGGGGGAAAAAAAAATCGATACAGCATTGTATCATCATATTTTATCGATACACTGGCGTATCGATCTTTTATTATATAAACTGTACATGAGAATTTTACTTTTTGGTACTATTATAATAAAATCTATTGCTTTTTTGGAGACACAATCTGAAGTTGGAAAAAAGGTAATAAATTTCAATATTTCGCATTATGTTTAAAATGGCAATAATATTGTATTGTGACATAAGTATCGTGATAATATTGTATCGTGGAGTCTCTGGTGAGTCCCACCCCTAGTAACTTTTTGTAAGTAAACTCATTGTATAGAAGTTTAGTATGGAGGGGGGACATTTCTATTTAACTAGGAGACTCCCATTGAGATTAAGAACCTCTTTTGCAAGGGTGACCTGGCCAAGACAGGCAGCAGCATATAAAAAAAGACAAACACATAGGTACAGACAAATAAAACAAAATTCTAGTAAACCAACATTTCATAAAGTCATTTAAAATAATTTTTACAATCTAAGAGCATTTACATATTAAGGCATCTGCCTCCAAGTCTTTCATTTTGAATTGAAATGCATTTAGCGAGATTAATTAGTCCTTTTGCAACGTATTCCATGCTGAAGGTGCAGAATACAGAAATGCCTTCTTTCCCGTTTCCGTACGGGTATTTGGCACAGAGGGTTGAAACCTCTTCCTGTGTTAATAATATATCTGTACAAAGGAATATATGGGTGCAGGAGAGGAACATGCGACGGCAAGAGGTCTGAATGTCCAAGACTGGTGAGGGACGTGTGGTTATGAATTTGTAGAGGACCGTTGGCCAATCAAATCTGATGGATTTAATTCAGATCTTCCACATAATTATACCCCACCCACATATTCTCTTTCACTCTGAAATACGTCACATGACAGAAGCCAAACACGCTCCAACTGCTGTTTCACTGTGACTTTAAAGATTTTGATCACACAGAGTGCACAAGCTTGTTAGATCATGAACTAGTTGATATTGTCTCAGCTTTGGGTAAATGGGCAACAGCATGACAAAATGAGCTTTACATCTCATTACATGTGCATATCCATATTCACTTCTAAGAAGAATGAGCTGGAGGCTTGACTTACTGAAGGCATGACAAGATCTCACAGACAGGCACTATAAAGACAGAGTGACTCCTAATGTCTGCTGCCTCACCACATGACTTCCAAGTGGCATCCTGCATATGAAGTGTTATTAAACAAACAGACTTCACTTGCTCTGTGTACAGCATAGATCTTTGCTTGAAACCACACATTCAGCTTCATTTCTGTTTACAGTATATTTCCGCGTTGACTGGCACAGACTGGCCTTTCACTGTGTTGTTGGAGCTCCACTCTTGTTTGTTGTTTCAGGAATGACCTTGCTCATTTTAATTTTGCACCACATGAGATTATAAATCTAGCACATGGTGGAGTCTGAACATAGAAAATAATACAAGAATTGCTTTCAGGGACATTTCCTAACATTACACTGGCAGGGTGAATAGCTTTGCACTAAACACTACAGAACATTTTTGCTACTTTGGCGTTTCTTGAAATGGATAAAGTTGCTTAAAGTGGTCACATGCTTATAAACTGGTTATGCTGAGAGGTGAAAGCACTGCTCACACGTTACAGTGTTTGGCCAAAACATCCAGTCCACACAGGGGTTCAGGGACAATCAGCCTCCCTCCTTGGTTGTTTAGGTTGTTAAGTATTGCTTTATCACCTGGTTCATTTAGCTTAAATTAGAGTGAAAATCAAATGCAGCTGTGGTTAAGAAAACATTTACCAAGCCTGGGATCTATTTTGGTGCAAGTAGATTGCAAGTGGATTTTATCAGTGGATGTATTCATTGTGAGATTTTCATTTCAGTAACCTGACAGCGGGTTGGAGGAAGATACCTGGGAGACAAAATAACTAAAAATGAAGGCAAGGAAAAAAGATACAAAACACATAGGAACTCATTGAAAAACTAAGAAGCAAAAAGGATCTGCAACCAAGTGAGGTGTGAAGATGAAGTTGCGTTGGACCAGAGCTGTGAAAGTTTCCTGTATTCAGCTTGTGACTCCACAGCCAGACGGTCACTGACAGTAAAGGTGGTATGCAGATGAGGTCATGGTTTTTAAGACAGCAGATACAGTCTACACCACCTCTATCCACGAGGCTGACAGAGGAATGGGCATGCGACAGCAGTTCAGGCACGGCACTCATTTTAATAGCTCGTAGTAGAGCTGCAATGATTAGCTGATACATTCATTAGTCAGTAGTAGAGCTGTGCAATTAATCGAACTGTGTTTTAAAATTATGATAAGATAATTGAGAACGATTATTGTGCCGCATTCTGTTTCACAATGTTGCTCTGGTTTAGACTTGTGCTGTAAATCCAGCGTAGTCCTTTCCTTTACAGAAGTGGCTCCTGCCCCTCCCACAAAGCCCAAATGACTCTCAGCCATGCGGTGATGTTTAGTCCAGCTCGAGCCAAGATGACGGGGGTTATAACTGCTATAACTTGCTAGTCACCATTATTAGCTTACACTGCATAAATTAGCCTAGCGGCTAACAGACTTTTCCTATACTGACCAAAATAATTGTGATTAAGACTTTTGGCATAGTGGAGCAGCCCTGGTCAATAGACAGAAAAATTGATTAATCATTTCAGAAACAAACATTCTCTGGTTCTAGCTTCTAATTTGACTGGATTTGCTGCCTTAATCTGTTTTGTTATAATAAACTGAATATCTTTGGGTATTGGACTGTTGGTATGACCAAACAAAACATCTGAATACACAACCTTGGAATATGGTAATGGATATTTTTCACTGATTTCAGACATCTTACAGACGTGATTAATTGACCAATAAAACAAATCGTCCCATTAATCAAAAATGAAAATAATCATTGCAGGCAGAACTAATATAGGTCACCCAAAAGATGCCATGGGTTCATAACTACATCAAAAATGTAATTTGAGTTCTTTAATGCTTTCTGCCAGTAAAATTGTGTGTGTGTGTGTGTGTGTGTGTGTGTGTGTGAGAAAAACAGCCACAGGCACATTCCAAATGCTTTTCTGACTGTGTGACTCTGATGTTGAAAATTAATGTGAAAGCTTTGAACTTGTTCAAGCCTATTCCTAGCCCATGGTTTAAATGCAGTATGTCATGGTAAATCTATAATTATTGAAATAGATTTTACAGTTCATTTTGTCGTTGTTGCAGGGATTTGGGAATCTTTTGTTCCTTTATGCCTTGCTCTGCCGTCGACACAGAATTTGATCTATCCTAGTGAGTGCAACAGGGCGTTGGTGTGACAGCTTACACTAAGTTGTTTAGCGCTTCTCATCACCTCCTCGAACCACCGGAGACATACATAATGCATTACACTCCAGTACAGAGTCCCTCTCGTATCAAATATTGAACAAAGAATAGCAGACATGCAGTATTAAAAGCCCCGCCTCTGTGATCAATATTTATTAGCTTGGTGAGATTGTTGTTTCTTTCTCTCTGTTGCTCGATCGAAGTGAGCACTTGCGATAGGGCTCCAACCACGCGCCGACCACGGGTGGCTCGGCATGTTACCATGGAGACGGCCTCATTTTCACCGTGCTATTGATGCAAGAAGCAAGACCCAAACCAAAGATGGGAGAAAAGGAAATAATGAATGATTCTGTCTGGTGAATGGAATCCGGCGGAGAAAGATGGGCTGAAATAAACAGATGACACAGGAGGAAGGAGGCAGGAATACACAGATGGCAGGTAGATGACTATCTATGCAAAGTTTGGAGTAGGGTAGCTTTAGGACGCCAACAGTCACCTGCATTAATCATGAATGTGTGATAGTGTTTCAGAAACAGAGGAGACACGGTTTTGAAAAAGACACAACTAATCAATCCACTGGAATGAAAGCAGATACTGATAAGAATGTGACAGGCAGCAAACAGCTGATCGGGGAGGTATGGTGTTATCGCTGGATGTGACATGTCAGGAATGTTAGTTTTTAAACTTGACTAAGATTTATTTGATTATTTCAAATCAAAAGATGTGCAACGAGACTGAGGTAAAACAATCAATGTAAATGAAATATAGTCTTTCTTAAGCTTGCTTTTAAAAATTCTACAGCAAAAGTGCATGTACAAAAAGTAGACACATTATAATAAAGTGCATAACAAACAAAATACTCCATAGCTACATTATTTTTGAGTTCAGTTGAAACCAATGAGACAGCATTTGCTTTAAGTAGGAGTTTCAGTTTGACTGTTTTCTCCGTTTCATACAGGCTATGTATGTTTGCAACAATTGTCCCCCGTGACGACAATGTAAAATAGTGCTTTGCCTCAGTCGGCTAGCATCAACCTGATTAGCTGTATGCTTAGCTCGTTGATGGTAACGTTAGCTTAAGCTCGAAGTGCATGGATGATATTTTAATTCCATTCCACGCAAGGTGCATACTGCTTTTGACTCGTCAACGGAGCCGTCTGGGACTGTGTTGTTGTTCCTACCTCCTGCTGCAGCCATGGAGAAGTGTCTGTGGCAGCATGACAACAAGTAAGGGTGCATCGAAGGGTCAAAATAGTAGCAGCCAAAGATCTTTTTAGCAAAGATTCTTTGGTAACAGCACCAGTGATGGTGTAAAATAAGAATATTTGACACACGCGATTAACGCGATTAACACAATTAAAATGCGTTATGAACTGTCCTTAATCTCATCGCGATTAACGAGTTAATGCTGACAACCCTAGTTTATACCAAAGAGAGATCTGTGTGTGTGTGTGTGTGTCCTGTTTTTATATTACAGCGGGGACTTTAACCTGAGTGTACACTGACCAATGGGGACTCGTGTCACTCGTGGGGATGGGTAGAGAGACTGCTTTTTGAGGGTTAAGACTTGGTTTTAAGGTTCAGGTTAGAACTGGAAAAACACAGAATCGCATAATTTAACAATAACAATGGAATCAACAGTAAAACGCAGAATATCGTCGAGTCTGCCAAAATGTGCACAGTGCCCCACAGCACTTAGACCAAATGAACACAAAAACTATGCTGCTATGTTTTGGTGTTTACAGGCACTGCTTCTCTCCTCGGCTCTCTGTCGGTATTTTAGCTCAGCGGCTTCACCGCTCAACACACACACACACACACACACACACACCGTTGTATCGAAGTTGACGTGCTAGCAAGAGCTCATCCTTCAACAAACTCTCAAAAAGTGTAACCACATCAGCAGATGCAGGATGCAAGCTCATTGAAGACTTCATGGCTGTGTGGGCAGAGTCAGATATTTCATTGAGTACTGTATATATTAGTGAGTGTAGTGGTGCTTATGGGACATCGTTCCGGGACGTCGTTCTGGGACGGGTTGTTCTGGGACGGGTTGTTCTGGGACGTATGAGTATGAGGCTGGGAGGGGAAAATCACAGTATACTCACTACAAAAAACTAGACTACACCACTGCGTGTGCACTCCTAATTTAGGTGCGGCTAGCTTAATCGCCTTCTCATAAATGATTGACAGAAACACTCAAAGTGTTTTTTTCTAAAGAAGTCAGCCACAGATGGAGTGGATGTACTAGGAGACAGTTCAGCAGAACAGCGTCTGCAAATGGTGATTTTTGAGTCTTTCTCAGACACTTTAAAGTGCTTCCACACTGCCGACATGTCAAAATAATTGTTCTTGTTTCTTCGGTCTTTTGACTTCTTAGGCCGATCACCAAAGTGCTTTTTTTGCTATTTTTGGCAGATTAATTTCAGCGGCCGAACATTCAGTGCATCCCTACTAGGCAATGCATTATGTCAATGTGATTCCCCCACTGGGATAGAGGAACAAACACGCTTATGTGTGTGTGTGTGTGTGTGTGTGCGCGTGTGTGTGCGTGTGTATGCGTGTGTGTGTGTATGCGTGTCTCACCATGGCACTGATGGTCTCCTCCCAGTCAGGTCTCTCTCTGGGATGGATGTGTGCCAACTCAGGCACAATATCGTCGTCCTCCAGGTGAGGTCCAGGCCTCAGGCCCCTACAGCCAACACACACACAAACACACACAAACTTAGAACTAAATTTCAGTTTCACTTGGATGATACTAAGCTTTTGGCCTGAAACGAACTATTATGTTCAGTACTGATTAATTTTGATTGATCAAAGTGAAACGGCTTCTTTTGTGCAACAGTCCAAAACTCAAAAAAGATATTATTTACTGCATATACTTTATTTGCTGTTGTATATGAAAAAGAAGGAATCTTAGCATTTTTTGCTTGAAAAATTATCAGCAGTTAAAGATTTGTTGTCTTTTGATCGACTCACTGTTTCAGCTCTACAAAGCTTGAGGGAGGGAGAAAGAAAATATTTGTAATACACACAGTAAACATATCCAAATCAAACAGCAATGAGCTCTTAGGAACTAAAGTTACACACTAGGGTTTCCATCGGACGATGTCTACAATGAAACATCGGGATGGACGATGTCATGGGGCAGCAGTCATCTTATGTGCATGTGTTCTCGCACAGACTTCACTCGGTAAAGAAAAAATTGGTAGACTATTAAGTTATGTTACAAGTCGCGGTGGATATTTTACGGACCAGGTAAAGCAGCTTTGAACACACCGGGTGCAGATGTTGGTTTCAGTTGTTTGATAGGCTGCGTCATTAACAAGGCGACGTGCGGCTCACCTGCTGCCGCGGTAACGGATCGTGTGTGGAAATATACGGAAAAAAGACGAGTTCTCAGTCTTTTAAGCGACTTTATAAAACATACTGCTGATGGAGAAAATGGAGCAGACGGGGGAGAGAGAGGCGGGGCAAGCCGCTGTGTTTACCTGAGGTGTAGGTGTGTGTGTGTGTGTGTCAGAGTGTGGGGAGAAGAGAATTCCAATGCCGGCTCAACGTCTTGAGGTCTGTCAGCCATCACCGATTACACATGCCATTTTTCACACTATTGATATAGATGTAAGAAGAGATGGCTAAGTGCAAGAGGATGAGGATTATGGGTATTTGTCTACATCATGAATGTAGAGGTTATTTCAGCCTGTGAAACATTCCTTATTTCCAGCTTCTCAAATGTGAGGATTTGCTGCTTTTCTCTGATTTCTTTTCTATTATTTAAGCAATTTCATGACGTTACTTCGACTTCAGGAAACTGTGCCGAGTAATTTTCACTATTTTCTGGACACCTTTTAGACTAAATGATGAATCGATTAACCAAGAACATAATCGGCAGATGAATCAATGGGGAAAAGAATCCTTAGTTGCAGCCCGGCTGTGAAAGACGATATGATGTGAGCCTGCCTGCTGATAAGGGAAGATCGTTCCTCCATTTTGCAGCTAAACATGAGAGTTGTGGTCTAGGTGAATCAAAGACCAACATGCAGCAAGGAAAAGGTGTAGTGTGTCCAGAGGCTGCAGGGCCCAGTTCAGGACATTTTGAATATATTGTGCTCAGCAGAGACACAACAAAGCAAATGAAACAGGACATTGGAAAATCTGATTAAAGGTAAATTTGAGTTAGCATTGCCTTCATGGAACAACTTGAAGTTGATGAGACGTCTCTCAACGCAGACATCTCATCAACTTCAAAGACTGCCCTTGTTTCCAGAGAAGCTGAGGAAAGCGGACAACTGAAACAGACTTGCACAGCGGCATTTCACAAATTGACTAGTGACGCACACACAGTGTACATGCGCTCTACATGAGTCTAATAAACTAGAGTAGAGAACAGAGGATGGAGGAAAAGACCTCTGTTTTGGTTGGACGGAAGAGTCTGTAGCAGCTGAAAGATGACTGCGTCTAGCAAATGCTGACACAATGTCTCTGCATTGTGAAAACTGGACTTAAGGGCCAGAACTCTGGCAAAAATCAACAAGATAAAAGACCATTACTGTTATATGTATAGACTGTAAAATGTAGATACTAAACCAATGGCCTTTTAATCAAATGATGATGAAAATTGTCCCCTTGACTTCTGCCAAAAGAATTCTCAATTAAGGAATGAGTCTTTGACAGCATATTGATACATTCAATGTCCTGCTGCTAACAACTACAAAAACATAATAATTGAAAATAAATAAAGCAATGTCATAGTCAATAAAAGAAATGCAACTGTCACACGCACACACACAGACTGGGCCCCAATGGAACTTGTTAAAGGCAGTGAGGCTGAAAAAGATCACTGAAATTCTTTAGAAACGGTGCAGACACTTCACAGCTTTGGGACCCAGAAGGTCATTTAAATAACCTTGATTAGAAATGACTCAGCAAAAGGTCTGGGAGAAAATAAGTGAGAGCAAAGAAAGTGCTATAACAGGAATGTACTAAGAGATAAACATTCATTAAAATGAAAAAAGTGAGGAATCCGTACTTTGATAAGTGATACTCCAATCAAAATCTGCTGAGTATCACACGCTTACCCCTGTGGGCCTGAATGGAGGCTGTGAGGAGTTTGCAGATAATTTATTTGCTCATCTTTAGACTCATGGTGCTTACAATGGATTCAAATAGTCACCCAGTTTCAGCTTAAGCAAACTATCATCTACACTTGTATTCACAAGTTGCATCACCATTCAAACTGTAAGATTTGAATGCATTTATCACGTTCACTCACTATGTATTATACAGGGAGCGGAGATGAATATTTAGCACTTGGACTCAAATTAAGGATGATACATTATAACTTCATAAAGTGGTTCTTTGGCACTCAGTGAATTTTCATCTATAGGGACATTTCTGCCATCTTGCTTTGAGCAACAGACAACAAATATATCTTCAAGCATCAATGTCCTTTTCTTTGTTGCCTTTAACCACAGATGATTGCATGTGGTGGCGGTGGACACTGTTACGGCATTATACTACTTGTGCCTCAGTTCTGCCCCAACTAAATGTACAATAGGGCATTTTGAGCCCAGTATGAAACATTGCATATTCTCATTTGAAAAACCCCTTCTGTTCATGAGGAGAATTGGAGTAGGTCATTTCTGGTTGTTCTGTCCCCAATCCAAAAGCACTTACATGGAAGTACGGAAGCACTGGTAGAAGGTAATTGTTGGCTAACTTGATGATTTAATTTTGTTAAAAGGATACATTGATGCCTTGGATATGTAATTGGCAATTATCAATTTAACCAAATATCTTAGTATTAGAGGATTTTCAAGTCTTAACCGATTTTTAAAAAGGGGGATACCACAGACATAACAGAATTAACCTATTTTTAATATTTTAATCCTAAGAATGCACACACACAACAGACAGTTCATACTAAATGATTTCAAGGTGGCAATCCACAAACTCGCATGATCAAACGTGACTTTACCAAACATGGAGGAAGACCGTCGTCATCAGCTGGTTGCACTTGTGTGCGCTATGTTTTGACCAGAAAAACAAAAAAGAGAATAATACTGTGGATAAAATGATAAACTCATGGCTGAGAAGAGGGAATCAGCATGGTTTATACATATTATAGCATGAGCAAGCACACAACATGTTGGTGGAGCTTCCCAGCCAGCTGACTGTTGCCAGTTTCTGATCGGAGGCTTCTAAAGTTTCAAATTCAAAATGGGTAACCCTTAAGATTATGTCGGTAAACCCCTCATTAGCCAATAAGCTACTGATTATCTGGCAAATTTAATTTAATAAAAGGTTTAGAAAACTAGGTATCTGACCAAAACTGTGATAATTACTTATTTGTGGTTTGCCTATGTAACATTCTACCTTACAACCCTGGCAGCCAAATCCAACTAGCATTTGGATTGGAGCGACATTGGTACAAGAGGTGTGTTTCCATCAACTATTTTCAATTTGTACCAAAAAAAAAAAAAAAAAAAAAAAAAAAAAAAAAATCAGTTAAAATTACACCTGGCTAGCGTAACACTGTCAGGTTGAGTGAGCGTGCAGGAAAACTTCTAAGTGCACAGAGCAGAGGTGTTGAAAGAGCAAGAGAGACACTGAGCAAGTGTCCAAGGGTTTAAAAACTTTGAGAGAGGGCAAAGAGTAAAACCGAATGAGAGAGGTTATTAGTGTCCTCTTATGTGGATAAAAGCAAACTGAACAATATATTTTCACACAACAATACATTTTAGTTTTCTCAAATAAATGATAATGATTCTCTACAAAATATAATGTATGTGCTTGCAAAAACATTTTTATATGCTTTAAATGTCCCACATGCGTGCAGCAGATATTGTATATTGTTAGTGGTTTATCCTGTAGCATGAAAAAGCAGATGTCTTCAGCAATGTAGATTCTCTGTCATGATGTAAGTGATACGAAACATCTTATGAGAAGGCCTTCAGATTTTCGGGCTACTGACTGACATCCCACAGCCACAATGACTCTAATAACATGCTTTAAGCACCACTTACCAGGGAAGGCTTGAGAACTACTGACACACTGTGAAGCACTTTCAGACGCCAGAGATAAAGGCCAAGCTTCAACGGTGCATTTCACTCGACAAGTATCACCTTCTCTGTTCACAAGTGCTGTGCACTCCCGGCATTCCCAGCATTCCTTGGTCAGGAGGCATGTAAGGAGAAAGGAACTGCTCCTTCCAGCACCTGCTACAAACACTTAACACAGCAGCCAGAAAACCTGGCTTTAACTTTGTGTTAAGCAACACTCTCACCTGCTTTCCGACCTACCCTCTCCCCTTCTAGAGAAATAAATGTAAGGAAGATTTTCCTCAGACTTCCTAAGTTCCTAGCATGCTGAGTCAAATGTTTCTGTCTCCACGCAGTAAGAAACAAGAGAGGTTTGGAACCTCCCAGTTAAAACCAATTTTTAAATCTTGACCATTTTCCAAATATTTCCAACACCCTCTCAGTTTGGTGCACAATAGCAGCAGCATTTAGCTCAGATAATGGATGCCATGAATCTCTCTCTGCATTTATCCTCAGCCACCACATTCTCCAGTGTCCGCTATTAGGCTGTCCCGCTACTGAATGCCCAACTCAACATATGCTCAACCTCAAACAGAAATCATGGCGGGTGGTGATGGCGCAATGGATAAGACACATGCCTTTGGTAAAGGCG